CACTCGCAGAGCCAATGGCAATTTTATATAAATATACGTACATATGTGTGGATGTATGTATGGGTATTTGTTATTAGAATTTCGCTTTCGGTCACGTTTTCCGACTTTCGGTAGAACCGCGTGAAGCTTTTGAGCAGAAGAGCGCCAGTGCTTGCGCTCACACTCACGCACATCGATTCGACATTCAAAAGCTTTTCGCTTTGTGGATGCTATTCACTTTAGAAATTTCCCTACTGTTGCTCATTGGGTGTAGAATGAATGGTCTAGTGTTCAGTCGAGCAGTTGCTTGTGGCAGCAACAGTATGTTTTACATTCGTATGTAGTCGTAGTAAATCTGTACTTACGTACGTAGTATATGCCGTTATGAATATGCATCAGCTGTGCCAGTTTTTTTTTATCGATATACTCTTATTTATCTCGTTTATTGATGGGTATATGCATGACCGTGGTATACTGAGTATAAGCGTCTAACCTTGAAGGTTTCTGGCTATAAATTACACGGAATATACATGTATATAATTTAGTTGAGGATATTTCGAAAGAAATTTAATTTTTGTGGGTTTATTAAATTTGACTTAACAAATATAATATGTATGTATATATTTTTAATAATATTTATGTTTTTGCGATATAATCTAACGGTAGATGACAAGATATGAAATTTTATTGAAACAGGTTTCCTCTCTACTCCTATTATTTTTGACACATAGCTCGTGATTACGCTTATCACAATACATATCAATTCATCAAATTCGACCCGGATTTTTAAAAAAGTTTTTTATGTTCTCTAAACTAAATATTTTTTTATCATCTTCAAAGTATTCTCTCCTTGATATAATATAAATGTCAAAATTTGTATAAACTTGCTACAAACCTCGGCAGGTGATGCACTCAGTTACTTGAAAGTTTTTATTTTTATGAACTCTCGTGATATATAGCGGTCGTTGGGGATCATATTGCAGTTTATAATACTGCAAACATTAATAAGTAGGGTTGAGTTATTTCTTGCGATATTTTGAAACCCTCTGAAATCTCTTTAATATTAATATACTTTTACATATACATAACATAATATATTTAAATTTATATTTAAATTTGTTATGATATTCAGATAATCCATGTAACATATCCAAAGATATCGTATTTAAAAATTTTCTTTGACTTAAAGGACATACATATGTATATAAACATTATGGCGAGGTCTAAAAAAATACTTCGAAATTGAATATTTCTGAAAATATGTTCGAATATTTAATAGTATATATTCAATAAAATATAAAAATTGTGTTATCTGGATTAGGTGTAAAACAATTTCAAAGGGTGAGTCTGAAAAAATATATTAAAATCCGCAATTATAAAGTCCGATTAGGTTAACAACAACAAACCGGTAATTTTCAGTTATGCAAATATTTCAGTAGCTACCCTAAGGTTTTTCCAAAATAGTTCGTTTATGTACTCTAGCAAACTTTTCTACAATCCATAATGACCAGCTCATAGCTTATAAGACTTCCCCTGTATCAAAATCTGGAGTAAAAGTTTCTCCTCTTAGCCTATTCAAATTAACTGCATTCCTTTTTGATTAAATTTTGAATTCATAACTTAACGACTAAGCCAGTTACTGCTACTCCATTCCCATCTGTTTTAGAAACCGTTAGTTCTACTGACCGAACAAACTCATAAGCTACGTTCCAAACAAAAAGTTTTTATTAAAAACGCGTTGGTTAACTTAGCCTTTACAAATGTATGGAATTTTTGTACTGAAGAATTCAAAATCGGTTTATACCTTTTAAATTCGAGTTCTGTTCTTTAAACCTTCTTACCTTAATAGTTAAATCGTTTATTAGATCGTATGCGATTACACTATTTTTTAATTTTTAATGAAAAGTTGCGATTTTAATTTCTTTACATAACAATTAGAAGTATTCTTATGTTTTAAGTTTGCTAGGGGTTGCCTACATTTCGGAGCGCAGCTCAATAGTTTTTTGATAAAGTTTAAATTTTTCAAAGTTAAAACTTGTTCGATTAGCTAATATATATAATATAGTGAGCAATGTTACCGATAACATTTAAAATATATATTTTACTTTTGGAAACAAAGCAATGCTGACCAAAGAATATGACAGATATTCACAAAACAAAACAAAATGTTCCTGCTTAAGAATTTTTTATTATGACATATTATTATTTATAATTATGAATATTCTATAATCTCCGAATATTGTATATATCAAATAACGTGGCTAGAAAGAATTAGCGAAACGTTTTCTGCTGTATGTCAACCGTTGGCCGGTTACGTTTTCATATTTAATTATACATATAGTTGCTATTAGAGCTGTTAAGGGTATTATAGCTTCATTGTAGCCGAAATTAAGAGTTTTTCCTATTTTATTTTTTTATTTTCAACATTTCCTCGCACTTCGTGCCACTGTACGCAAATTACCCGCATGCTGGGAAATCGGCTTGTGGAACGTATACGCCATGACATACTCAATGAATACAATGTTGCGTCGCATACAGACTTCCTCTGCAGTTTGTGGAACCTAAAATGCGAAAACACAAAACAATCCGGAAAAAAATTATCCCTTCGTGCCTGGAGCCGAATCCACGCATACAACCATATACATGTATGAGTGTGTGTGTGTGCGTGTGTCGTATTCGTACAATTCCTACCGCCATTTGGTTCATTTCAGTTGAGTTCAGTGCAGTTCAACTCGGTTCAACACAATTCGATACAGCGATACACAGCGGCAATTCGCTCGAGTTGCGAGTTGAGTTCAGTTAAGATGTGCAATTCAAACGGTGCGAACGTCTGTTGGCGGTTGTTTCGCGTTACGCGTCAAACAAACTGAAATCTCAACTGAGTTGTAAGCTTAACAAGTGCTTCAATACACAAACACACATATATATAGAAATATTCTGTGCGAATTAACACACATACATGTGCGGTGCGTATGCGTGGACACACACACACGCATATGTATAAAAAGGCAACACTTTTAACTTAAATAGCGGCAGCACAGTGGCAAGCGCCAAAATGTCTATTAAATGAGCGTGTGGCAGACAAACAATTGCTTTGAAGCGTGAAGATATGCACGCGCTCCGACGTTTAACGCGCGACGCAAGTAATAAATAAATCAGAAATGCATTAAAAGCTGAGACGCTGCAACAATTGTGAGCGTGTGGCAAGCACAATTATTGCCAATGCATTGCTGTTGCACTTATAATATAGAAGTGTTGCAAGAGTGCTGAAGACTTCCGCCAATAGCAACACTTTAAGCGTTCTTTCGCATTTATTTTAACATTTTGTTATTGTTGTTGCAACAAACTGCCAAAATGTTGCTGAAAATGATGATAATGATGTTGCTAGTCATCTTTGTTGTGGTGCTGTAGTGGCCGCAAGCATTGAGTGTGCGTTACATGGTTGAGCGCGTATGTTTGTGTGTGTATCGCGCGCTTCCGCTCTCAAGCGCCTGTACGCTGTCTGCGCGTCCTCATATATAAATTTATCGTTTTGTACGCATTCGCAAATTGCTTTGTGTCATTTTTATGTGAAAATTGAAAAATATCTGAAATTTTCTAAATTGCAAAATCATGTGTATTTGTTGTAGCGAACAGCAAAAAATATAACGTATAAAAAATTGTAACACCTAAGCAAATAAATTGTGGCGCGCACGCTGTGCATGGAAATGCGAACACGAAGAAAAAAGTGCGAGAAAATACCAAAAATACCTGCGAAATATTTTCGACGCCGCTGCCGCGTATGTCGGTAGGTGCGCCGCACCGCTATGCAGTGAATGAAATATAGCTGCCAATAGGCGCGAGAATTAAAAATATCTACAAAATCAACTAAAAAAGTGGTGAATTTCCAAAGCAAAATGCAATCAAACGGAATAAAAGTGAAAAGAGGCGGCTGTGCGTTGTGCGAAAACTTACATGCAACAATATTTAAAAAATAACAACAATAAAAAAGCAAAAAAAAACCTCAAATAAATAAATTAATGTGGAAAAGGAAACGGCGAGATCAAAGCGCTTTTTAGAAAATGGGCGCGTAGAGTGAAATCTAAATGGATTTTGTATAGAAAAATTTTTGATTAATGCTAGAAGGCGGGCAAGTGGCATTGATATGTGCATGCTAGATACATGTGTAATGAAAAATGTGTCGCTTGCGGAATAGTTATTGAAACTAGCAGCACAAATACACACACACAAACAACAAGCTGCATGCAATTTTTCTAAAGCGATAAAAAATTCGTCGAAGAAAATCAAGCAAAACAGAATTAAACACTCATTATTAATGGTAGAAATAAAAGCCTAAAAGCAGCATTTAATCACGCACAATTCACAAGTATTTCAAAACATAAACCGTTAGATTAAAAACATGGAAGGTTAGCAAAGTGTTTAAGCAGCTTATCATTAGTGGCGAAACGAAGAAAGAAATTCGGAAACATAAATCAAATTTAACTGATATACAACAACAAAATTTGAAATAAAAATTGAAATAAAAAAAAAATACGGTTTCTTAATAAAAAGTCTTTTTTTTAATATTAGAAAAAAATACTATTAAATACAATAAAAAAATTAAGGAAAAATCTGAAAAAATAAACTAAATTAAATTATAATACAAAAAAAAAAATTTTCAAAAAATAAAAATTTTAATATTTAAATAAAAAATTTAAATTTCGAAAAACTCAAAACAAAGTTCAAAATAATTTTTTTTTAATAAAAAGCTGTAAAATAAATTTAGGAAAAATCGAAAATATAAACTAAATTGAATTAATATACAAAAAAAAATAATAATAATAATTTAAACAAATACAAAAAAAGTAAATATTTGAATAAATTTTAAAATTTCAAAACAAAAATGGAAAAAAAATTATTCAAATACAATACACTTTAAAAAAATAAGAAAACATTTCGTAACAAATAGAATAAAATTAAATATATTAAAAAAGTAAAACAAATTAAATTTTCTATTAAAAAACAATACAATTTTAAATGCCAAAAAAAAAAAATATTAAATATAATAAAAAATTTAATTTTCTATAAAAAAACAAAATATTACTTTAAATGCCAACAAAAAAAAATGATTTGAATAAATTTGGAAATCACAAAAACTAAACCAAATAATATTTATAATTTTATTTCAATATAAACAGCAATCGGTAATTGCGACAGCGGCACGCTCATATTTATTTTTGAACAGCTGTTAAGCAGGCACTCTTCTTGCCATACAAGATATCTACACTCGTATATGTATGTGTGAGTGTTTGAGAATAAATCTCGTCGATCACAATATAAGCAACCGGCGGGCATTTAATGAAAACAATAACAGTGATCAGCTGTTAAGCTGATTAGCCGGATAGCGTGAGTGTGTGCTGAAATGCCAGCATGGTTAATAGCGCACATACGCACACATAAACTTACAAGCCGCTATAAGCTCATTTCATTTGGTGCAAGACTAAGTCGCTTACCCATGTAGATATAACTGTAAATAAGCAGAAATTAAAATACTAAGCTAACGATGACATGCTAAAAATATAACTCTCATTATGTAGTCACACACCTAGTCACACTCACACACATTTATACGTAGGAGCAAGCATGTGCATTTCCATTATTACTTATTGATTTCCACTTAATGTGATCCGCAGCAGCGGAAGCGTCAGCATAACTGTAATATGCTTGTAAATAAGAGGATGACCAAAACAAAAATAAACAAAAAAATAAAATAAAAAAATAACAACAAAAACAATTATGCTTAGTTTATGCCATAATTAGCTAATAATTAAGCAATAGCAGTCGCATTCTACTTGGATAAAAACGCAAGTTTCGGTGAAAAACGGGTAATCACTAGCGCTAAAGTGTAAACAAATGAAAAAAGAAATAAATTAAATTATATTAAAACTAGTCAAATAGACTAATTATAGCAAAAGAAAATAAATGTAAACGCAAATAAACAGAAAATTGCACATAAACGCATTTCACTACATAGAATTTGCATGTAAGTAAAGTGGAATTGGTTGCACAATTTAAGCGCTATTCTTTGTTTGTTGTATAATTCACCGTTAGGCAATAAAGTTTGTAAATCGTTAAGTCTATTGTGTAAAAATGTTGTTTTTCTAGCAAATCGGTCAACTGGAAATCCGCCAATCAGCTTTGGCTTAGGCTTATAATCTAATAATTACTCGTTTAACAATACTTTTTTTGTGTCTGTCATTTTGCACAGCAGTTTGATTAACGGAAAACACAAAAACTAGTTTTTTTGCCTTGGATTCGAATACTCCTTTTTTTCGTATTTAGGATAGTGAAAAAAATATTTTTTATATATACTATTTATTGTTTTATAAAAAAAGTGTTAACTTCAATTGTGGGAATAAAAATTTTGTAGCTAACAGATAATGACTTAAAATAAGGTTAAATGCTTTAATATAACACATATATATTTACATAATTTTTCAAAAGATTTTATTTGTAGTAAAAAGTCGCAAATTGTATGGCAGTGTAATGTCTGGTTGAAAGAAAGTGATTCTTAAAGTTAAGTGATACCTTTCCCTTCTCACAGTTGTCTGCAATATTGGTGTGATCTGAGCAACATGCTTGGAGATTGTAGCAGTTTTTTGAACAATAATTCATGCTCAACAACCGTTAAGATATCTCGCCAAATACAGACATTTTCTATACAAGAACTTGATTTTGATCAGTCAATTTGTATGGCAGCTATATCTTATTATAAACCGATCTGAACAATATGTTCAAAGATAGTGTTTGTTGTTTTTTTTTTTTTTGATAATTATCTGTACCGATTTTCTTGAAGATATCTTTAAAAATAAAAAAAATTTCATACAAGAACTTGATTTTGCACGATCCGTTTGTATAACAGCTATAGGTATCCTATAGTGATCCAATACCGGCGGCTGCGAAAAATGCGCAGCTTCTTAAAAGAAAAACAGGTGTGCAAAGTTTCAGATTGATATCTCAAAAACGGACTAGTTCTCTATACAGATAGAAGAAAATGGCTAAATGGACTCAGCTCGTCACGCTTATCATCTTTGACGGTTCCTTGTAAATGTTATAAACTCCCTATTCACGGTGTTATAAAAATAGTGCCTATAGCTATTTGCCCATTAAGCACCATTATCAGCAATATTGCAACCAAGTTAATATTGAGAGTTTATACTATAAAAAAAATGTGTTGAATAGCTATTCCATAAATGGTGCTAGAGTTTAAATACAATTTAATCCACACGAACCATTTATTTACTTCGCATTTTAATCTTGTTTAACGCCATAAAATTATATATATTGACCGAATGTACTCGCCAAATGTCTATGTGTATTTCTCACACTTTAGTTCTATTGTACAATATGTAATACAAGTAGTAGTAAAATTTATTACTTGTACTTATTTTTCTAAAATCTATATTCTTCCAAGTGATAAATGCTTACAGACTAATGTGCGGTTTTCATTATGTCAAATGCAATGACGATTAATTGTTAATGAGTAACAAGCTTTCAATTATGGCAATATTTTATATTATGTTTGTTTCCTAAAAGAAATTCGACTATTATCACTAGTTCACTCGAAATTTTTTTCACAAGTTGCTATTCAAATAAAATTAAAGCCGTTAGCGTTAGCTTGACTAAGTATGTCAGTATATTTGACATAGTGAGAACATTATATATTAAAGGAACTGCATTAATAATAGTCCAAATTTCTGGTGAACTTAGATATTCAACGTGTTATCATTTCGCATAAAAATATTACAGTATACTACACTGCTCTCAAAATTTACAGTAAAAGCATAGAACAGTATTTTTGTTCACTGCCACCGTTTATATTTAAAAGAGTCGTAAATTTGACTGCAATAACACAAAAGTCATCTCTTGTAAAAGCGAATAGTTTCAAGAATTTTCGAAAGTTATTTAAGCAAAAACTTCTATGTTCTGCAAAAAATTCTAAAAGAGTCCGTATTATACCAACGCACGGGACTACACTTACTTTATATTATTTCAATTATGTTTTACTAATAACAGAACTATGACGCTTCTTAGCATTATGTTCTAAATATTTGGAATAAAATAAAAGTTACATAGCAGAGTAAGTTTTTACTCATAGTCCCTCAACTTGGACATGCTTGACACGTCATGCCCTGAAAAAATAAATCTTCGCTTCTATTCTTTAAGATTACGATACAATGCTAGATTCCCTAGTATGTAGTGTTGTACATCAGGGTGTGGGTTGTGCTTTCGATATTACCAACATCTTTAACCTATATTTGTAGTAATTATGTGCATATATCAAAAATTTAAATGAGAAATTAATAATAGAATAAAAAGTTATATTTGATATATAAAAAATACAAAATTTAATTTAAATTCTTGGATAGACTGCTTATTGAGGTAATGATTTTTAAATTCACTAAATATTTTTTGTGTTAATTATACAATAGGTTAGGTTAGTTGAAGAAGTCGATTCTTAAAGGAATCTCACTTAGACAGCGTAGATTATACAATAATATTAGTCATTTTAAAAGATGCTTTTTGATCCCAGGTGTCTAAGTTTTTGTACTTCAAATAAAAGATAAACAAATGTTTCAACTTATATATTTATGACAGTTTCCTTTAACTGATTCGGTCCTCTATTTCATTTCTGGCGAAGTAATTCTTTCTGGCGCCCTTTTAATATATATATACACTATATACAAAGTAGTATTATATAATATTATTATTGTGATTGAGAATACTAGGTGGCTTCCAGTGGGTGAACTTAACTATGTTTCGACTTGCCATTGTTTCATGCATATTTTCGACAATTGGCCCTCTAGAGCGTTCTTTGAAATCAAAATTACCATAAGGGGAACGAAGAAACTAAAATTGGGCATTATTGAACCCTTGCGTTTTTTATTTTTTTTCGCTTAAAAACCATCTCTACTCAATCCAAATCATCATTAATTGTATTTTTTTCTTTTTACTTTTGATGATTCTGTCAGCAATTCTGCTATCAACGCAGAAACACCTTTTTTCCGAGGTACTGCCGGAAATGACCGAGTTTTGAATACTTTCCTTTAAACATTTCACAAAATCTTTACCAAATATGTATCGTCGGAATAATAAAAAGTTTGAATAAAATAATAAAATTTTGTATATGAAAAAAAAATTTTTGGAATTAGGGCGTTTTCTGCTCAACGAAACCCATGTAACCCCTTAAGCTCTTTGAAAAGTTAGCGCTTAAAACTTAAATATATAAATTTTTGAGTATAAAGTAGAGAGAATAAGCAGATAGCAAAAAGAATAACAAAATTGTTATAGGAAATGTAGAAGAATTTTATATTTACATATAACTGTATATATGTTATTATTGTTGCTTTTCTCATATTCATGTAAAATTATTTATATATTTTGTATAAAGATATATATTTATAAAAAAAAATGGATAGTAGTATTGCTGCAAAAATTGCAATTTATATGAATATTTATAATTTTATTTTCAAATCATTTTCATTTACAATTTATTTATTTTCAGATTCAACAATAAGTTTCGAGTGTAAATTGATCAACTAGATAAAATAAGATAAAATGTGTGAGTAGTGCAAAATAAGTAAGAAAAAATTTAATGGGAAATGACACAACAATTCCACACAATTCAATTCAGCAAAGCAGCAGTCGACTCACATAATTAAATAAAGAGCGTAAAATATAATTATTGAAAGATTATTACAAATAAATAGTGAGGGAAAAATTAAAAAAAATTTTTTTGCGTGAAAAAAATTACACAAAAGTGAATAAGTGAAAAATATAAATAATTGGAAAAAAGAAAATAAATATTAGTTAATTAAAATTACAATAAAGAAATTAACAGTGAATTTTTAAGCTAAAAAATAGCAAATAAATTCTACTTTGTTAAAGGCAAGATCAACCTTGTGTGTGTGTGTGCGTTCCGCTAAAGCTAGCAAAAAAGTTCCCAAATGCGGAGATAACCTCTGCTCAACAGCGTCGAGTCCCAAACAAAGGCTCATCGAGGCAAATAATATTAACGACACAACAACTCGAAATACACACACACTTGCAGCGCCAAAGTGAAACACGCACCGTCTGCGAAGTAATCTTCTAGGGTAATAAATAAATTATTGCCAGTAGTAATAATAAAAGTAATAGCAATATAATAATAAACGCCTATGCAGTAATTCAACACCACCACCAACAACAACAACAACCACCGCTAGCGCAAAACAACACAAACAACAACTTCTACGGAGCCGCAGCAACAGTAGTTGTAGCAGACAGCAACAAAACTACAACTTGAACAGCATACTCGAAAAGTAACGGCAATAAAGCAACAAAATGGATTATAGCCAATTAGATGCGAATATCAATGGCAACATCAATACGGGCAATATCAATACAAATGACTTCCTGGCCATATTCTCATCAACAAGTCCCACCGATGTGCCTGCAACGCCTGCCTCCTCGGCGGGTGGCTGGCCCGGCGGTGGCGGTGGCGGCGGTCACAAGCACTACACACATCTGTCCACCCCGCCCCACAGCAGTAACGCTAGCATTTTCTTTGCCAGCAACAGCAGCAGCAATGCAGGCAGTGCACCGACCGCCGTTAGCAATACAACAACACTACTTAACCCGCCTCTACTAACCGTCGATGCTAGTGCTAATGGCGGCGGCACCAGTGGTGCCGCTGGCAGCGTAGCCAATCAATATGGGTTGGGAAATTTGCTCGAGAGCACCTTACAGGGCGCCATCACTACGCTGAGTCCGAATAATTATGTCAACGATAGTTACTACTTCCTGAATAGCAACTTTTATAACGGTAGTATGAGTTATAGTGGCGGCGCAGGCAATTACAGCAATCAATCGTTGACGGGTGGCAGCATTTCATCTACAAATTTGTCATCCAATCTGACGGAAGTGCAATGGGACGGTCGCTATCCGAGCGGTTATACGTTGCCGCAAATCGTCATCGCTTCTGTAATCGTGACCATATTGATGATTATCATCGTGGTAGGCAATATGCTGGTCATCATTGCCATTGCGACGGAGAAATCGCTTAAGAACATACAAAATTGGTTTATTGCCTCGCTGGCGGTGGCGGACTTCTTTCTCGGCCTGATCATAATGCCCTTCTCGCTGGCGAACGAACTGATGGGCTATTGGATATTCGGCAGTTGGTGGTGTGACATACACTCGGCCATGGATGTGCTATTGTGTACGGCGTCCATAATGAATTTGTGTCTGATATCGTTGGATCGGTATTGGAGCATCACGAAGGCGGTGGACTATCTCAAGTCGCGTACGCCGGCCCGTGCGGCATTCATGATTGCCGCCGTGTGGATAATGTCGGCATTGATTTGCATACCGCCGTTGTTGGGTTGGAAGGTGAAAATGCCGGAGGGACCGTTGCCGAAATGTGCGGTAAGTACCCGAAATGCTACAATTGCATACATAACTGTTTTTAGCATATGTATATATGTGTATACCTATATATATATATACATACATTTTTACATTCATACATTTTTACATAGCTGCGGCGCATTTGCGCGCAGAAAAGTCTTACCCGGCATGACTGTATATGCTCTGAGGGACAATTGAAGCGCGTGTCTGTGTGTGCGTGGTGGCTTTGCAATTAAATGCCACTTTTGCTCCAGGGAAGACGAGTAGTTTGTTCGCTCGTTCGTTCATGTATTTGCGTGGAAATCGAAAACCTGCAATTGTTGGTTATCTCCTCGACTCCCTGTCAGCGTATGTACGTGTGTCACGATATAAATTGGTGCCTGCGCCGGCTCTGACGGTCTTTGTGTGTCATATTTAATTGTAGTCGCTTGGAAATTGGCGCAAATGATTTACACGGATAGAGATAACGAACTTAATTGTCTTCTTTGGGCGCATCAGTTGCCAAAGGCGTTGATTTAGCACCCCATTCGGGTAGGTGTGGGTGGTTATAACGTATGGTTGAAATATTATTTTATAACCTTGAGGTTCATAAAGTTCAGTATGTGGCAATTTGTTTTAAATTTCTGATTGTGTTTTGTTGAGACTTGCGGATACAATGTTGAGACAGGAAGTAATTATTTATGTGACTGCTCTCGCTTCTTTAACTAGGTCAATTGCTAGTTGTTTCTACAAGGATATATTTGGTTTTTAACATATTTAATATCTATCATATTGATATATGTTTTACTAGCAGTATTTTTTTTGTAAGAAAATTGATTAAATTTCTGAAAATAATTGTTTTAGCTAAAATACCATATTTATAGAATTTTGATATTTAATAGTTTGGAGAATTTTACCAACTGCATTCTCTCTGTTTTTGTTAATTTTCCTCAATGTTGAGAAGTTTTTTGATGATTAAGCACTGGCTTCTTTAAAATATGTTAGTACCTATCAAAAAGGAGGAAACCATGACCAAGTTTGAGCCTTTCAAATATTGATACTTGAGTTCATGATAAATATGATTTTTATAAATTTAGGGCTTACTTTCATTAAAAAATTTTGCTCTGGCCAATAACAACTTTACGTACGTTATGAATCGATAAAATATTGGGAACAAGTCTGGAGAAATTTATGGCCCGCTTCCTGGTTTGACTCCTGACGGCTGGGACACTGATAGACTGCAAGAGTAAAATTGAGAACAATGAAGAGGAACCCTGCTTATCAATTACCGATCGAACCGAAACCAGCTTGCAATCTCTATAATTTTACAGATCTTAGTTCAGATTAGTTATTCCGAAGTAAAAAATTGATTTTATGAAGAAATGCTTTATACTCGCCACGCTTACATGGTTTATTATTAACTTCCATAAATTATAAAAAAAAAAAAATCAGACGGCACAGCTGTTATGATGACTGTCCTCTATCAATAAATTTGTATTTACATTTATAAGAAGCAATAACTTGGTTCTTACGTCTCCACTGTGGGAGTCAATAAATGTCGTGGATTTATATTTTATGGTAATCAATATATGAATTCGGGTTTCGTATTTCTTAGAAAAATATCGGAACATTATATTCAGTCTTCCTACCTTTTTTTACCACACATAATTTCACATAATCTTTTAGGCTTTAAATTCCAAAATAATTGGTCTAAGTTTTTCTTTCTGGTCTAGTTACGACAAACTGCTAACCTCACTCTCGACTTAAGATAACCAAAAATCACCTTAACAGTCACTCACTAAAGTAATCCGTTTTCAATGCCAAGAACTTAATTGTTAATTTAATGTTTTATATAAATTTCAAAGGTATATAACACTTTTCAGATCAGATAATAACCACGCCCACACCCCATATAACAGGTCTGTTGAAAACTATTAGTGCGATAACTCACTGAATAAATGCGGCATAAAATTTTAATTTCACAAAAAAGATTTTAGGGAAGAGCTTTATAGGAGGAGGTATAAAAATTGGACAATGAGCGTGACACCGCCCACTTTTTGGTAAAATCATATATCAGGAACTACTTGATCAATTTCCAGCCATTCCTAACACACACTGTGAAAATATCAACGACCATAAAACTATGCAGTTAAAAACATGAACTATCCATCCCGCAAAAAAAAATGCCCCTAAAACTATGCAACTAAAATCATAGCTATTCATGCTGTCATTTAAATAACAATTATACTCAAACACATCCTTAAGGAAAGTGAAAAGATCAAATGTGGCTTAATGACAAGTATCATGCAATATACTAAAAAACATGCTTTTAAAGCATATATAACGAAAAAGTGAAAAAGGAAAATATAGTTTAAAAAAGCTAAAAAGAAAATGCTTTTTAAACACTTCAAACTAAAAATGTAAATTAATTCCTTATTGACAGTAATATTGACTGAAAAATACTTGTACTATTGTGAGAAAAGCGTGGGATGGTTTGTACCACTCTTCTAACTCTCTTCAAACTTCGAATTTCCAAAGCTTCAAAATTTTTGAAAACTGTTTTTGAAAGTTTTTGGTATTGGGTTTTTGGATAAATTACCAGAACCCATTTAAAGACGATTATAAAAAAAAACATAAATGAAATAAGAATGGTTTTAGGTAGTGACGACTCTGACTCAACTCAATATAACAGCCAGCTTGCACTAGCTGGATATAAATGACTTTATATTAATTAATTGTAATTGATAATCAACAAAATCATGCATTTTGAGTGTCTTAATATAAACATTCTTAAATTTCTCTGTTATTCTTTTATTACTAACTGCAAAATGGCCAACTTCAATACACTGCTTTCAAGACAAGAAACCACAAAAATATTTATTTCAAATTATAACATTTTGAAATCATTGAAATTTTACAATATTCTCCACATATCTCCTCACAATAAATATATATTTACATAGCATAGCATTTTAAGAAAAGCACAATTTAAACTAAAATATTAAAATATAATTCTTAAGCAATCACTACCACGTGGCCAAAATCATACGAAAATATAATAATAATATTTCCCTAACATGACCATAATTCAAGCAACGCTTTTGTTCACTTTTGTTCTCTCGGCTTTATTATATGGAAAAATGTTTGTGCTTGAGGAAAATGGACTAAGGGCCCAAATAGCTAAAAGGCTGCACGCCCAACACAAAAAACCAATAAAAAGACTGGCCATTAAGCACATTTACGGTGTATGTATAATATTTGTGAGCACAACTTGTGTAAATATAAATCTAGTAAACAAAACATTGAGAGAAATATTTTGTCTGAAAATTGAAGAAAATATAAAAACAATGTAGAATTTCAAAGTATTTTATTAAAAAAAAGTGAAGTAACTGGCTGTTTGTTTAAAAATGTGTGATTTTAAAGGCATGGCTAAATAATTTGCTTTATACCCTTAACCCTCTAGTGCTTTAAAAAAATGTTTACCTTTAAAAAACAGTTGCTATAGATTATAATTTACTTGAAAATAATTTTCCTTCCTATTAAAGCTCTAACGAGGCACATTTACTGGAAAGGGTTTCGCTAACCTCTCAAGGCAGCACTAACAAGTTAAAATGTCTAAATCAAATTATTGTTCGGGAACTCTTTTGTATGAGTTGGAACGCCGAATTGAGTTCTTAGCACTTTTTTTATCAACTTTAAAATCGAAAACTTAGAAAACAGCGTTTGACCAGCGAAATTTAAATTTAAAATAGTAGTGGAACTGTGCGCCCATCGGAAGATTACTTAAGTGTTAAAATTTTCAAACAAAGCCCCAGAAAATTATTTTGTCTATTAAAAAACCAATTTGGCAACACAAAGAGCTATGGTATGCTCCACACCAATAAAGTACATGCCGCTAACAGACAATGACCTTGACATTGTTGTGCATTATTTTATGCAGAAGGGGGATAAAAATCAATAAATTAATACGGTCACATGATGACCATATAATAGCTCAGCTGATGCTCACAAAACTGCCGGCAAAGTGAAAGTCAAATGATAATAAAGTACAATATCTATTATATATGGTAAGTGGGTAAGTGTTTTCATGAAAATATTACGGTATTTTATGTGGGTGATATTAAGCAGATAGAAAGGATAAGTATGTATATAAAAAGAAAAGTAAATAATTGCAGGAAGAAAAATAGAAACGAAGACGGAAGCGGACATACTTAGATGTTAAGATTTTAGCCTTTCTATTATTTTTCATTTCATTTTATTTTTTATTCTCTTGAAGTTAGTTACCTGGTATGGGCTATTAATTAACCTTTTATATGGATAAAATGGGAAAGATTACAAAAAACAAAAATAATCAGAGCAGCAATTTTTAGTGAATTTTATTAAACATTTTTTAAGCCACACAAGAGCTGTGCACTGAGCTGTATTCTTAAAAACTTACTCTTCTTAGACCACACATTTTTTTGTTTTTTTGTAATCTTTGAAAATCTCTTTTATCTAAAGGCTACAAGCAACGCACTTTCTTAAGTACAAATTGCTTCATTGAAAGCGCTGTCATATAATTTTTTGAGCTTCTGATTTCACCCAGCTTTCACAAGCTTTACATAACTTCAAATAAATCAGCTGCATGTTTTCGATTTTCATTCTCTCGAGGTTTTCACAGTCATTTTAGGCCGAAATGTCTCGATTTTGTGGTTCATTTACTCACATACGAATCCTTTTTCACTTCATCGATTTCGATTTTACGCTTTGTTCACTTTACCTTTCGTTTGCATTATTGTCGGCCAGAAATATATTTTTATATACTTCTATATTTATATATTGAATGTCTGCATATCTGGCAGCCCTTAAGGTATTGCTATTATTCCAGTAGTTTGTTTTTGAGCTGCTCGACGGCATAACATTCCGCGCACTCATTTTCTTTCAAAGAAAAGAAAGCCGCAAGCACACATGCATATCTTTCAAATCGTTTATTTAGGCGTGTGTATTCAAAACACACTCTTGGCCATTTTTTCCTTAATCTAAACAATGTAGTGGCCGAAGTTTAAGTTTCGATCTATCCTTTTTTGTTAAAATTACTTGTTTGCGTTCGGAATATTGATATTTACACTCATAGCCATTCATAAATGTAAATAAGCAAATAGCCAAATTACTGATAAGAAAATATTTACATATTATTTTAGGATAAAAAATATTTGGGATCAACGTTTGGATAATATTAA